GTATTTGTGTACAATTCTTTTTGTCTATAGTTTCATAATATTCCATTAAGTAAGTCTATTAAGAAAGAGTTTTGCTTTCTTAAAGGGTTTCAAATAAAACTGATGCTTGCTATGTTGAACACATCAATTGGCATATTCCACTTTGAAGTCAACTATATAATCCTTCCTCTAGGCAATATGCCAGCTACTTGCATTTTTACACTCTTGCACATGTGGCTCCCTCTACCTAAACACCCTCTTCCCCCTGTCTGCATCATATTTATCCTCCAAGGCCCAAATCAAATATTATCTTAGGAAGCTAATAACTGATTGGTCATTCACTATACCAGGTACTGCTTTAAGTGCACTAAGTATATTGATTTATTTAATTCTCATAACAACTCTATGAGGCAAGTACTATTATTATCCCTGTTTTAATAATGAGGAAACTAAGTAACAGAGAGGCCAAGAATCTTGCCCCTGATCGCTCAGCTGGCAAACACTGGAGCTGGGATTCACACTGAGGCAGTTTGGCTCAAGAGTCTGTATCTCAGCCACTTTCATACGTTCACCTGCCACATGAAGCCTTTTCCCAGTTATCCTAGTTAGAATGAATTTACTGAGAAAGCATCACTGAGCGTTTATGTTGTACTAGGTTCTAGTCTGGCAAACCGTGATACCAAAATGAATAAGACTCAGTGTCCCAGCCATGGAGGGGCTCAGTCTACTCATTTGTACCCTGACCTGAGTCTTGACATACCCAGGTTGCACACCCCTTAGAGTACTGCCCATATCATGGTGATTTGCCTACACATGTCCACCATGAGACTAGACAAGGACCACATCACCCCCATGTCTTTATTCTTAGTACCCTGAATGATGTTTTGGTACTGTAGGTAAAGAGCCACATACTTTGGAATCCCAGTCTTTAATAAAAAGGTCAAGAAGAAATTTTTGTATAGACTTCCTCCAAAGAACACATGGAATATATAACTTATAGCACAGAAAACTTTAAGTTTATAATGTAAATGACAGTTTCTACTTCCAGCTTTTTATGAATTAGAGCAGGTGTTATGTGAAGTGTTGCCTACGGTTATTATAATCATTACCAAATAACTACAAATGATATAGTATCCTTCTCTTCTATCCTTTTCCTACAAACTCAAGCAGTGAGTTAAAACAACAACTCTAGGAGTACATACACAAAATCTGTTATGTGAAAACAATACTGCAGTTATAAATGAGAACAATAAATCAGGCCAAAAAGCTTCTTGTTCCTAAAAAGAAACTAAAAATCTTGGTTTCTTCATTATATTATTCATTACATATTGCTAAACTTCAATATATAGTATTAATAAATATATTAACACACTTCAATATATAATTCAAATTCAATAATGTAATAATTCAAATACTTCAACATAGACTAATGATGACAAATATCTACCCATTCAGTCTCTGAAAAGCTAAGTTTAAATGGGTAATTTTCCCTGAGATTGAAAGGCAAAAGGGACAGGAAATCCAAGTGAGGTCTTTGATTCGGACTTGCATTGCAACTGATCACAAGCGGGGCAGAGTGGGCGTGGGGATTGGATCCCAGCCACTAACCCCACGGCTGCTACTGCTGAACACTGGAAGGAGGATCTGTAACAGAAAAAATGTCCCAGAAGTCTCTGCCATGCACCAGTCAGCCCAGTGTCTCTGAAAGAGGGCCCCAGGCTCTATGACCTTTCACAGAGAAATTACGAATCACTTCTTTACCTCTCACAGCCATTTGGGACATCACAACTTGGGGCAGAGGAACAAGCAACAAAGGAAAAAAGCCACCTATTCTAAATGTATTTATTTTTAAAGAATAGGAGGAAGAGGAGTGATAAATACTGAAAAAAGTGCAGTTTAGAAATCAATAAGAACTTCATAAGAAACTGCATGACTTTTAAGTCTTTTTTATTACATTACATTTTACATAATATATAGCATATATTAATACTACATAAATATGTGATATTTTAAAGAATTTTACACCAGTCAAATGAGTCATTAGGGCCTATGTAATATCAATTTTACTTTTTTAATCTCTATTTTCTCTATCTCTATTTTCAGTTTTAAGAAGTTTAAAGGTGTTAGATATGATTATGATTATTCAAGTCCACACCGTAGGAATGAATATGTAGCCAACTCATAATTACCCCTTTGGTGGAATATTGTAAAAAAAAAAAAAAAAGGTTAATTCCAGTCTCTTCTTCTTTCCATAAGTTGTAAGTTAGAAATGGCTCTTCCAAGTCTTCCTGCAAACTTACTCTAACAGCAACATGGTAAAAAGGAAAGGCAGTTAATCTCTTTCTGTGTGTTTTAGCAATTCAAATGCCAGCTCTGATACGGATAATCATAAGTTTACTTTGATCTACTTTGTAAAGCAGAATTTATATATCTACCCAAAAATATCCCTCCTAAACCTGCTAGAAATTCACATCTGTGTTTGTCCTTCTCCAGCTGGACCAGAGTATGTCACATGCTTCTGGTAGATCTAACCTTTATTTAGCAAATCCCTCTTGGACCTTCTGTGATCTTGGTTTTCAATCTTTAGCTCCTGGGTCCTAACCAGAAGCACCAATGCATATGCACTTGCTGTGCCTGATCTTTGAGTTGCAGATGCCAACTTGGTGTTGGCCTCTTCAGTTGATCTTTTCATTGGCTTCATTGACATTCTGTAGTATAATCTTGGGAGCAAGCCCAGAGGGATTTATATGTTTGCCTGAGACTTAGGCATTAAGTCTTTAATAAACAAAACAATCATAATTACAAAACCACATATTAAAAATTAAATCACTCACTATCACTGGGCAACTCAAACCAAGTCAGCAAGTAGAGAGATTTATGAAATCAATTTTTTGTGGTATCCCAAAGAAAAGATGGTAAAATAACATAGAATTGAGGTCTTTCTATTTCTTTTGTCTTTCTACAGTAAATATCTTTTCTATTATAGTAAGCACATTTTCCTAATCAGTAAATTAGAGGTTAGTGCATTTTCGTTGTTGTTTTTAAATAGAATTTTAAGGATTGAAAACTAAACTACCACATTTAAAATACTACTGGGTTACTACACAGAAAGTTCATTCTATTTATAAAAGAGTATATTCTCACCTATGAGTACTCCAGTGGCCTAAAGACAGTCCAAAGACTGCTGTTCATCCTCTAAAGGAAAACTTAAGTGTTTTGTCCTTGGAATAATGCACACACTTAGCATAGCATGAAAGTCCCTTGGAGAATACCAGAAGCAAGCACGGCAACCAATTCTTTCCTCTTCTTCCTTGCCCCTGTGTGTCCCCCAACCTACTCTCCCAGCCTTACTAAATCACCTATAATTTCCAAAAATACCATATGCCCTCTTACCTTGTTCTTTACATAAGAGCCAAGTCTACTTTTATCCCATTGTGCTCAGCCAATTTTTCCTCCTTTAAGTTACTGCTTAGATATCCCTTTTCCCAGGGTTGTCTAAGATTCGTGGAGAACCCCTACACAGGTTCCTGCATTGTTTTCTCCCTGGGAGTGTTTCTCATTCATGACCTACCCTCTGAGCCTGGTAAAATGCCTGTCACATCCAGGCACCTCTCAGATACCTGGTACATAAATAAAGGCACCTTCAAATCCAAGTCCTACAAAACATCTCCCCTAAAATATGGGTGACACTTACCTGCTTGCGCATCACATCTGTAGCCTGCATAATGTAGCGGGGAGGCAGTCCATGGCTTCTGGCCAGAATGATGGCTTGCTCTAGCGTCACACTCAGGGTGCACCTGTGGGCCAAGGCAGGGGCAGGTCAGACCCCACTCGTTCCCGATACACTCTTTGAGACAGTTTGGGTTACAAATTTCAAAATTAGAAAGTATTAGCCAAAATCGAAGTGAATGGATAATGAACCACTGATTTTTCTACATAGAACACCTGTTTATGTAGATCATACAGGTACATTATTGGGGTCATGGATTAAGTATTTAAATGTAAAATAAACCCATAATGAAATATGTTTATGAGAGCACTTATCCACAGAAGATTAAATAAAAATTTTAATCAATTTTATTATTAAACATTATTCTTTATTGATATTTCATGGAATTTAGAAGAAATGACTTTGTAATATTTATCATTCATTTCTACATATTGAGAGTTAATAGGTTTATACTAATTGATGCACAGATATCTTAGAAAAATACTGAAATTACTATTCACTGTGGTCAAAATTGATTTTAAAAAATGTGTTTCTTAGTTGGGCACAGTTCCTGTAATCCCAGCCTGTAATCCTAGCACTTTGGGAGGCTGAGGTGGGAGGATGGCTTGAGGCCAGGAGTTCAAGCCTGCAGCGAGCTATGATCTCTTTACTGTACTCTAGACTGGGCAACAGAGTGAGACCCTCTCTCTTAAAAAAAAAAAAAAATGTTTCTGGGACCCAGTCTAAGAGACTGTTTGTAAAAGTTCCAAAAGGAATTTGTAACTAGTTATACAGGAATGTGGTGCGCAGGGTATCCCTGAGAAGTGTTCTAACAGAATTTAGTGATTGGTGAACCTTGATGATTGTTCCTTTCCTTCTTTTTAAGGTATTTCTTCTATGTTTTTCCACATTTATCTCTATAACAGCCCTTAAAGCCTATGTTTATTTGTTAATTTTTAAGGTGCTGGTCTCTAAATTATTTTCTTAGGGATAACTTTTGCATATATTTCATAAACATGCTCACTAATTTCAGATGTTTTTCCTAAAATTTATATTAGTGGATTTTGTCCTGTTTTTTTTTTTTAACTTACTTATATTTTGATTAATCTTTTCTCCATATTTGCATTTATCTCGCTGTGGTTTGGTGTTTTACCCATGTATTTTTCTAGATCTATCTAGTCTTTTTCCCTGCAGATGACAGTAAGTTCTACAATGCAGTTGCTTCTCTGTGAGGAACATCTAGCTCATTATTCTTGGTTATGAGGCTGCAACACAGAAGTCTAATACATTTGCTAGGTTTTGATACTGGTGAATTAAGAAAAAGAGGAGAAAGGGCTTCAAACATTACTGTTGTAATATTAGAAAAAACCTGGCAAAGTGCAACTGTATCATTATACGTAATTGTATTCTGAAGAGAAACATGCCAAATTCCATTGGCTGTTAAATGACTTGAAAAGCAGCTTCCTCATTACTATTACAGAGAATTCTTTTATTAATAAAAGCATTAACACATGTTTAGATGGGCTAAAGTTTTATAATTAGCTTCTAGTTGTATGTACCTGATGTTCACAAATATTGAGTGCGTGAGTCTGATAACAATGTGTACTGTTTTACGCAGACTGCAAAACAGTCTATGCCAATGAAGGCCAAGCAGTATAACTGACAGTTCATGTTTAAAAAAAAAAATCAATTTTCTATAAAGCATTTAATTGCCAGCTTATTCAACAGACCACAACCTATTTCTCCTCCTTAAGGTCTCCTCTACTCCAGTTTTAAATATTTATTGATCCTAACATTTTAATCAATAATACTCATTACACCAGCCAAATGAAGTTAAGGAAAAAAAAATCTTTATCTTCCTCTAATCATGCTGAAATATGTCTGTGCGTTCCTGATAAACCATGTCTTGCCTTGAATCTTGCTTACTCTACTTATAACAAACACTTACACACTGTGAAGGGTTTTTGAACAGGCAGCCTATAATTTTTATTCATTTTCTTAATCATTTTAAACTGATTTCTTTTTCCCTACCTCAAGTTGTAGTAAACAGTAGTACAACAAATTATCTGCCAGAGATTTTACTGTGATCAGGAAATTAGTGTGCCCAGTAACATGCTATCTTTATAGGGTACCTAAAATGTCACTTTTTGGAACCATTCATGCATCAACTAACAGAAAAATCTACCTTCAAATGCATATGCATATATTCTTTCCCCTGCATACTAGGGGCAGGGAAAAAAAAAAGATGGCTGCACCTGTATTTGTCTTTTCATATTAACCACTGTGTATGTTCCAACTAGGTCCCAAGGTTACTTTGAATTTTTGAAAAGTGAAAAATTTAAAAAGAGACAACCATGCAAATGTGGGAAATATTGCCTGTGTTTTGATTCATGGTTGATAAATCCAACTGAGGCCTTATATTTCCACTCACAGCATCACAGAATTCCATTATCCTGAATTAAGCATGGGAAAGAAAGCCTGGCAGTACGGCCACAGTTTTTCTGTCAATATACCATTATTTGCTTCATGGCTTTTCATCTTCTCTCAACTCTCTCAATCTGGATGTCAAGTGGAAAAATCCAGCATTTGTGAGAAGTGTTTTGATGCTGGCATGCTCTGAAAGACTCCAGGTCTAGAAAGTGGCACACGGATTTTCAATGGTGCATAAATGTATACTCGGAGTCAGGTTTTACAACAGTTCATTTGATTTTATAGGTACTTTCTCATTTCCAGAGAGACTGATATGCCAACCCGGGGCAACAGAATAAAAGGAATCTATTATAGGCCAGGAACCCTCATTCAATATGAGAGTTCTGGCCTGACATCCCAATCTCCTTTCTAGCATGATCTCTGCTTTCACATTAGATGGTTAAATTAAAATCTAAATAAATCTATATTTTTACCCTATCTGGAAAATACAAGTCTTCAAATTTTCAGCTCCTTCTAGCTGCACCATCATTAAAAAAAATCCACACAACTCTCTACCTCAGAGCCACAAAAATAATAAAATAAATGCCACTGAGTAGTCTTTGTCTTTCAGGAAAAAGCAAAAAAAAAAAAAAAAAAAAAAAAAAAAAAAAAAAAAAAAAAAATCCAATGAAGAAAGTGTTTCCATAACTTTAGTAGAAAGACATTCCAAGTAATGGCTCTGTGCAGGGTATACTTTTGAGAAAGCACACTTGATGGGGTGGCAAAATTATACAGAAAATGTTAATTTCCCCAAAGAAAGTAAAAGGAAAATGTCACTAAATCTGTGCTTATAGTTCTTGACATATTTCACGCTGAGAATAGATCCCCAAATGACTCAGATATTTAGCATGATTTTAAAATGATAAATGTAGCCTATCATTAATGGGTCTAATTTAATTTGAAAGACACTTTGATTTAGCAATGCTATGGAAGAAACACAAAAAAGTCTTCTCCATTCATTCATTCATTCACTTGCCAAATGTTTTTCGAGTGTCTACTTGTACAAGTACCATAACATGCTGCCAGGAGTGGATTTACCCTGAAACTAAAAAAAGCCTGGTTTTCGGGGACCCCTTACTTATATGGATCCCTTTCAAAGTTCTGGGAGTGGCCCTATCAGTGTGTTCTCACAGTCACATGCTTTTACAAATTTGCAAAAGCAAAACCTCTGAACTGCAAATGGTTATGGCTGCTGTCTTCTTTACATCCAAGCTTCCTTCTGTCATGTTGGGTAGTGTTCAAATGGCTGTGGCTATTTCTGAAACTGAGCTAAAGAAAGTTGAATTAGGGATGCATCCAGGCTGGGTTTCCTGGGACCTATTTATAGGGTTCACTGTTACTTCCACAGTTCCACAGTTAGGTTACTGTAATGTCCTCCTCTAGATGGCTTCCAGAGTATTCCTACTGCCCAAGGTTGAAAAGGAGGTGCAGGGCCAGGCATCAGGGTATAATATGCCCATATCCTGAGAACCCAGGACTGAAAGTGCATGTGTGGTGGAGGAGAAACAAGGTTGGACATGCATAGATCCAGAAGCTACTCTGTGGAATATTCTTCCAAACATTATGGGTCATATGCTAAAGAAACATATAAAGGTTTTTTGGTATTTGACAACAATTTAAAAATTTACAAGACATTAGCAATAATACATTTTGATGTTAAAATGCTTTTCTAAGCTCTCAATAACTTAAATTTGATCAACCATGCGAAAGACAATACTTTTTCTATACTCTCTATAGAAAATATTATTACAAAGTTGTTATAATTTGAAAAGGCAATCAAAGAGTATTACCAAAACTTGTGGGAGAAAAAAGTATAGAAGTGGGTCAGACAATAAATTAATATTATTTTTCTAGATTTTCTGATGTATGTGGTACTTATAAGCATTTTAAATTTTGCAATTTGTTTTTTCTTACATTCTGAATAAATATTAACTTTCATTCCTATTTTGTTTTGTAATTTTCTATTCTTTTTCTCAAAGATGGCACTTAACTCCAAAATCTCCTTCACTCCAGTATGTTGGGGAGGCGACAGTGAACAAAGCCAAGTCCCAACTCCTTTGATGACCAAATTTTAGTGAGAGGAAAGAGAAAATAAAGCAGCAAATACATAATAGCAGATGGGAATAAGTGATCTAGAAAAATAAATTTTACAGCAGAATACAAAGTGGAATGGTACTAATAGAGGGTGGAATGGCAGAGGGAAATGCTGTTTCGTGGAAGACCATTTCGGGAAGAGTAAGTGCAAAGGCCCTGAGGTTGATGCTTGTTTATTCTGCTCACAAACAAGTGTGGAGCCCAATATGCTGGTGCACACAGAGGAGACAAAGATGAGGTTGTGAAAATAGCCTGGCCTCAAACATGCAGAGCCTTGGCGGTAAAGTCCAGAAGTAAGTGGGTTTCATAGTTTTTTTTGGTCGACATGACAAAATTTCAATATTTACATTACATGATACCAAAGAACAATTTATTAAGCAAATTATCAAAGTATTTTACTAACAGCTTATCATTACTGTATTCAAAGCATCTTTAGTTGCTTTCCAATGGCAACATTTGCAAAAGCAAACTATCCTGATGCTTCAGGTTTTCAGCCAACTACTCTCCCATTTCTGACCTTATCTC